TTTCCAATGGAAGTGGTCTCACTCCCAAATTCTAAATACAAAAATAGTTATGCCCAAATTAGTGACAACTGTTCACTTTCTGTCAACTAATTTTATACCATTTCTTCGCCTAAACCATTTTCCATTGATTTCTCCTGTTTCTGTGACATGGAGTATAACTTATTAAGAAATAATGAGCTTGGTACCGCCATGGCTAATTGATTGAATGATCAAAGAGAATAAGTAAATGAGCGAGTATAATCTCATATTATGTGTTGTGCACTGTACTTGTAGGTCGAGACGAGGATATCGTCCTATTACCACCGGGAACCATCACTGTGAGTAGTAGTTCTGCAATCGTACGTTCACTTATCGTAAATAATTCTTATTGTTAACGCACTGTTCTTTGTAAGCATTTATGTTGTTTAGGGATCGGTGAGAACATTGAAAGATTATGTGCACTTCGGTATGACGCTGAAACTACTCTACATTCTGGTTATGGTTAATGGTATCCTTAAGTATAATAACCTGTAAATTACCTATAACTCCGCACAAGAATTATTAATATTATGCAATTGGTTGGTAAGAAGGGATTATGAATATAAACCCCGCTTAATGGGAACATGATATTTTGAACGTCCTATCCTGGACTCCTACAACCTTATTTAGTTCGATACATGTTTTATGACATAGACATCTGCCTAAAATGGATTAACAAAATGAAAAATCGAACAGAACCATGGGTTTCCTTATACGTCAAAGAATTGAATATCAATAACATTGTTATTATGACTCACGTTATGGTGCGAATTGTTCTATTCCCATGAATAGTACTGTAACGACACATGTGTTCTGTAAATATTATATTAATACTTTGTTATATGTAAGATGACTATGGCTACATGTAATGAATCATAAAGGGAAATTTATGTGCACCATTGTGAACGGTATTCGTAGAAAACCTGGCTATTATTATGTTATGTTTATTCACTTCGTTTATGCTATGACATAATATGAATTGTTCAGTCTTCAAGAACTATTGATTCCTAGTTACGAAACTAAGTGCTGCAATGCGAACCACCTCTTGAGACCACATACAAGAACTGGGCTTAAAGCCAATTTGGTCCCTTTATGGGCACCCGGTGATGTGAAATTATGAAAGATATAATTGTAAAGATATGAAAGGAATAACTTGTGAACTTATTGAAAGATATAATTTGTGAAGATATGAAAGGAATAACTTGTGAACTTATGAAAGATATAATTTGTGATGATATGAAAGAATAACTTGTGAACTTATGAAAGATATAATCTGTGAAGATATGAAAGGAATAACTCGTGAACTTATGAAAGAAATAATTTGTGAAGATATGAAAGTATAATTTGTGAACTTATGAGGCGAGGGCCACTTTGTAAATTTGTGAACTTATGAGGCCGAGGGCCACTTGTGAATTTGTGAATTATGAGGCCGATATGAGGCGACACTTTTTTGAAATTTGGCTGAACCTTTGAGGCGGGGCCAACTTGTGAATTTTGAAATTATGAGGCCGAGGGCCAACTTGTGAAGTATGAATCTGTAACTTGTGAAACTATGAATCACAAAGGCCGAGGGCCAATTTGTGAAGTTATGTATCTAAGTTAAGCCAAGGGCTAATTTGTGAATGTGTGAACCCATCAGGCCAAGGGCCAACCTATGAAGTTATGAACCGACAAGACTGTCCTTAAATGTGTACAGAATCAGACTAACCACAGGATTTTTGCATTTACTTATCTAATTAGAGAAATGTGTACATTGTAAGTAAATTAAGTTAATCTTTAAATTGTTTATGTACTACTGTTCACTGAGCTTGACTCACTTTGTCTTATGTCTGTTTCTGTAGGCACTCCACCTGGAGGTCAGTTTTAACCCATGGCATCCGTGCCTCTTTTGTCAACCTCAGAGTATCCAGGCACTTAAGTGAAGGCAGCCTTTTTGCTAAACTTTTGATTTTACACTCTGATTGTTTGCTTAAGGTTGATGTATATATAATTCCTTTGCCTGTCCATGTTGTTTTACGCCCAATTCTAAGGGCTGGGTCTGTATATATATATGTACATAACTAACTCTCTGGTGCACGTCACTGTATGTTTATTTGCCTTATGTTCTGTCTGTGATCCTAGCATGATAGTGGTCGCTTAATGGATGCAGTTCTTTTATTTATGTTAATTTATATTGGTAAATGCTTCCGTTCAGGCCCCATATGATATGTATACTAGGTTATGCGTCCGTTTCTGTGTAGGTCATGCCCAAACTTTTAGGGGCAAGTTTGGGGCGTGACAAAACATCTTTCGAAAACATGCTGAAAATAAAACGGTGTCTAAAGCCAACTTTTGGTCGTTAAAGCCATCTAAAGATAAAACTGTGATAACCCAACCTGTATTATGCTTAATTATGCATGTGATTATGTGTTTGACATGAATTTGCAAGTTTAAGTATGTGAACTATGTGATTTTGGAATTATATCTGTTGAGTGTAGGAATATCTGTTGCAATTACAACATTGAACTGAAATTGAAAGCCATAGAAGCGCGAAAAACCAAAACCGACTTCATATCTATGTTTAGCAATATTTTTAAAGCCTACTATGAAATTTTGTAAAATTATGATTCGTAATGATTGAATTAAGGTTTTTGAGTTTAAGTTATATATGTGTATAGCTCTTGAGTTCATCTTTGTGGGAGCTTTGCTAGAGAGTGAGTTAGAGAGAGAGAAAGAGGACAAGCTAGGGTTTTGGAAGAGATTTAAGGGGCAAACCCTAGATTTGAACTAAGGTGTGGAAATCTACTTAGAATCTTTGTATGTGTCTCATCTTTTCCTTGAAATCAAGAGGAGATTGTGAATTTTTGAGTTAGGGTTTTGGGTTGTGTAATGGTTTGAACTAAATTCAAGGAATCTCATCAACTTTGTGTGTTTTGAGCTTAATCTTGTGATCCATTCGTGAAATAAACTCTAGATGGTTCATATAACCAAGTTTTGTTGAAAGATTCAACATGTCTATATGTATTTTGAACTGTAATTCAGGAATGTACAAAAAAGATGAGACCATGAATTTAACGTTAAGGAAAGATTGATGTGCTTGAATGGAATTATACTTAAATCATGTTAGTATACCATGTTTTTGAGTTAGTTTTGCTTTGATTTAAGCTTGGAAATGAGTTTGGAGGGTTTTCATTTTTATGCCATTTTCGGATTGTCTGTGTGTGCCTAGACCGCTCTAACGACTACGGACTCCGCACGAGAGGCCCATGGCTCGAACCAGAATTACGCGTTCTGCTTGGTCAAACGGCTGAGGGTTCCACACCAGCGAAACATGAACCAGGCCAGAGGATTGCATTCTGCACGCTCGAGCGGCTCACACTTCCACACGAGCGGAGCATGACCACTCGAACGGTTGGACCTACCGTACGAGCGGCCAATAGGGATGAAAATCTTACTTTCTTGTGTTAACTTGTCCGACCTTCTAAACCCATTCTTGGCTTTATTTAAACCCTTCGAAGAATCAAATGATGATTAGAAGCCATTGAAAAAGGTTGTGAATAACTAAAAGGAAAGTGTACTTAATGAACGAATTATTTGTTAAATGTGTATGTGACATGTTTGTGTAGGTCGTGTGCCGGAGGAAACGTCGTAAGATCAAACGCACTATGAGTAATAGTATTGTAAAGATATGTTCTTAATTGATTACTTTGAGCGATGAATGGCGTTTTGTGCCGACATTGTGTTTTGATTAAAATGAATTATACGACATGTGCAATGTGGACCTAAGGTCGTTCCGTTTATGCCATGATATGTTTGGGCCCGAGACTGTTCTGTGGGCCCTAGGTCGTTCTGTATCCTATTTGGGCCCACGTCTGTTCTGTTAATGATATGATAATATGTGATTGGACCTAAGGTCGTTTTGAACAGCTGTTAATATGTGGGCCCAAGGCCGTTCTAATAATGATGGGCCTAAGGCCATTCTATTTATGTGATTGGCCTAAGGCCGTTCTGTTTTTGTGATGGGCCTAAGGTCGTTCTGTTTATATGATGGGCTTAAGGCCATTCCGTGTTATGTGGGGCCCGAGGCCCTTCCATATTATGATTATGTATGTTGAGAGAACCTTATGCTCATTTATTTAGACCGCTTTACTATATTATTACTCATGGAGCTTCGCTCACCCAATATTATGTATGCACATGTAGGTGATCCGCAGCATGGAGCCCACCCTTAGAGTCAACTTTATGAGCTATTTTGCGAACCTGTCGAGTCAAGCCTTCGAGATGGAGTTTTGCCTTTGACTCACATCATGCTATGACTTTTGCTTTACTTTTGCTTTAATGGTCTCAAGATATGTAAACTATATGTATGAAATTTCCTGTGGAAAGTATGTGAATGTGTTATGGTGTAAGCTTTATACTTTTGCTCATATTGGCACAGCTCAATGGACTTCTTCATTTGTTGTATGCTTCCGCTTATGAACCCATTATTATAATTAATATGTATGCTTGTACAAGGCCAAAGGTAATCAAGTGTTTATTGGCCGGTTATGGTCTAAACCTCTATGCGCAGGTTTAGGTCATGACAGAGTGGTATCAGAGCACCAGTTAATATCTTACACACGAGTCCATTTGAGCAATAAGAAGTCCAGAAAAGGCTTAAGTATTATTCATAATGCATTCATAACCAGGTATGCCATAAAGACACGTATTTGTAATTGTGACTTATGTGCATATTTCTGTGAAAGTTATAATGTATGTTCATATAGATCATGGTGAGAACAAGTGTGGAAAAAGTGGAGGAGTCAACCTTTTCACGACTTGATAGAATAGAGAGAATGATCATGGAAATGGTTGAGGCTTTTAGACGACGACAACAACAACAACAACAACAACAACAACAGCAACAACAACCACCTCTACCACCAATGCATGTGCCACCCCTAGTAGTACAAGATCACCAACGTAAAGGTCAAACAATTTCACTCACAAAAGAGTTTAAAAAGATGAAACCGTCATTGTTTAAAGGGGGGATTGCCCCACTGAAAGCAGAAGTATGGGTGCTAGGCATTGAGAAAATGTTTGATATCTCTCTGTGTACTGAGGCACAGAAAGTTCTACTTGCTGCTCTTACATTGGAAGATGAAGCACGCCGATGGTGGATGCTGATAAGATATGAACATCAGGGAACGAATTGGGCTGAAATTTTGGAAGTCTTTTGTGAAAAGTATTTCCCACCGTGTATTCGAGATAGGAATGTGATAGAGTTTGAAAACTTGAAACAAGGAAACAAAACCGTAGCAGAATATGAGGCACAGTTTACCAAGTTAGCCCGTTTCGCACTGCACATGGTCAACACGGACTACAAGAAGGCGAGGAAATTTGAGGGAGGACTCTGAGATTCTATTCTTGAGAAGATTAATGTTTTGAAATTGCATAAATATGTTGACGTATTGGATAGGGCCATCATGTTTAAAGGTAACTTAGCTAACTGCAGCCGGTATTCAGATTGGAAGGGAAAAAGGTAGGGTTCTAATATGCATAAAGGGTCGGAATCTCCACAGAACAAGAAACAGAATTTGGGAACTTCCAATGCTTCTGGTTCTACTCGTGATTCAACACCAACTTGTCTAGAGTGTGGAAAGAAACATCGGGGAGTTTGCTATCGAGAAACCGGGGCTTGATTAAGTGTGGGAAAATGGGGCATATGGTGAGAGATTGTCCTATGATGGATCAACAAAAGGGTAATAGACCAACTACTAGTTCAGCCGGTTCCACTCCTGTAATGAAGGCTACGACGAGACCTACTACGACTAAAGACAATATCAGACAAAAGAGAGTCTTTGCTCTTGTTCCTAGTGATGTTCAGAATACAGAGGCGGTGGTCTTTGGTACACTCTCTATCAATGGCCAACCTGCTTATGTGTTACTTGATTTGGGTTCCACTCATTCTTTTGTTTCGAAAACATTTGCTCCTAATTTGAATAGACCTATGGAACCATTAAATTATGTGTTGTGTGTGTCTTCACCATCTGGGGACTCTATGTTATGTGCTTCTCTATATCCTGCATGTGAGATTTTACTTGGGGATATCCCGTTATGTGCTAATTTAATGCCTCTTGATATGGTTCATTTTGATATAATTTTGGGGATAGATTGGTTAGCTCAATATCATGCAACCATCGATTGTTTGTCTAAGCGAGTTGTTTTCCGACCTCTGGCACAACACGGGCTTATTTTTGTGGGGCATGGGGTAGTTCCTCCACCTTATTTGATATCGGCTATGAAAGCTTGCAAATTACTTCAGAAAGGTTGTAAGGGTTATTTGTGTAGTATCCTTCATGTACAAACAACTGATGTGAGTGTTGAAAATACCCAATTGTTAGAGAAGTTTCGGATGTATTTCCTGAGGATCTACCGGGAGATTTGACAGACTATGAGATTGAATTTGTTATTGATATCATGCTGGGTACTCAACTGATTTCAAAGCAGAAATGAAGGAATTGAAAATACAGTTGCAAGAGTTACTTGACATGGAAGAGTATTGTGTTAACATAATATGCTTTCTTTTAAATCAAGATTATTCGTTTGATTATCTTTACTTTACTATTATTCATTGAGCGTCGCTCACCCCCTATGTTGTATGTCTGTGGGTGATCAGCATGGAAGTTAACCTTAGAGTCTACCTCAGGAGTTATTTTTGTGAACCTGTTTGGTTGAGTCTCTAAGATGGAGCTTTTGGTTTTTGACTCACATTATGTTATGACTTTTGTTTCGTTTTGCTTAATGGTCTTGGGATATGTATACCATATGTATGGAATGCTCTTTGGTACATAAGTTTTTGCATGGTCATGTAAATATGCAAATGCGCTATGTTGTAAGCTGTATAATTTTGATCATTTTGGCACGACTCAATGGACTTCTTCATTTGTGTTATGCTTCCACTTATGGCCCCATTATTATAATTATTCTATATGTTTGTTTGAGGCCGAAGGTAGTTAAGTGATTACTGGCTGGTTATGATCAGAACTTTCAGGGGAGGGTTTGGGTCGTGACATTTGTACAACCAAGTTTTGTTGATAGATTCACCATGTTTATATGTATTTTGAGCTTGACCATGTAATTCAGGAATGTACAAAAAAGATGAGACCATGAATTTAATGTTGAGGCAAGATTGATGTGCTTAAAGAGGAATTGTACTTAAATCATGTTAGTATATCATGTTTTTGAGTTAGTTTTGCTTTGATTTGGGCTTGGAAATGAGTTTGGAGGGTTTGCATTTTTGTGCCATTTTCGGATTGTCTGTGTGTGCCCAGACCGCTCGAGCGGCTACGGGCTCCTCACGAGCAGCCCATGGCTCGAACTAGAGTTGTGCGTTCTTCTTGCTCGAGCGGCAGAGGGTTCTGCATGAGCGGAACATGAACCAGGCCAGAGGATTGCATTTTGCACGCTCAAGTGGCTCACACTTCGGCACGAGCAGATCATGACCGCTCGAACGATTAGACTTGTTACACGAATGGTCAGCAGGGGTGAAAATTCTGCTTTCTTGTGTTGACCTTTCTAACCTTCCGAATGCATTCTTGGCTTTATTTAAACCCTCCAGAGAATGAAATGATGATTAGAAGCCATTGAAAAAGGTGGTGAATCACTAAAAAAAAAAAGTGTACGTAATGAACAAATTATTTATCGAATGTGTGTGTGACATGTTTGTGTAGGTCATGTACTGGAGGAAACGTCGCTAGATCAAAAGTACTGTGAGTAATAGTATTGTAAAGATATGTTCTTAATTGATTACTTGAAGTCATGAATGGTGTTTTGTGCCGACATTGTGTTTTGATCAAAATGAATGGAGTTTATAAATGTTATACAACATGTGCTATATGGACCTAAGGTTGTTCCGTTTGAGGCCGTTTTGTGGGCCAGAGGCCGTTTTGTATCTTATGTGGGCCTGAGGCCATTCTGTTAATGATATGATAATATGTGATTGGACCTAAGGTCGTTCTGAATAGTTGTTAATATGTGGGCCTAAGGTCATTCTGATAATGATAGGCCTAAGGCCATTCTGTTTATGTGATGGCCTAAGGTTGTTCTGTTTATATGATGGGCCCGAGGTTGTTCCATATTATGTTGAGCCCGAGGCCGTTCCGTATTATGATTATGGATGTTGAGAGAACCTTATGCTCATTTATTTACACCGTTTTACTGTATTATTACTCATTGAGCTTTGCTCACCCAATATTATGTATGCACATGCAGGTGATCCATAGCATGGAGCACACCCCTAGATTCAACTTGAGGAGCTATTTTTTTGAGAGCCAAATTGAGTCATACTTCTGCGATGGAGTTTTGTCTGACTCACATCATACCTTGACTTTATTTTGTTCTTGCTATTATGGTCTTTGGTTTGTAAACGTTATATACAAATTTCCTCTGATATTTATATTCTTTTTGCATGGGCATGTGAATGATGTGATTGTGTTACCTTCTGCTCATATTGGCATGGCTCAATGGACTCATTCTTTTGTTGTATACTTTCTGTTTTGGCCCCATTACCATAATTATTCTGTATGTTTGTCTGAGGCCGAAGGTAATCAAGTGATTACTGGCAAATTATGACCTAAACTTTTAGGGGCGTGTTCGGGACATGATAACATCAATTATGGTAGACAGAGTGGAGAACTAATGGAGCATTTAGGGAATATAATGGAACTAATGAAGCATAAATGGAGTTAATGGAAGACAAATATGGAGCATTACCCTCAATGGATCAAGCACTAGGCAATGGAGGCTGAGTATACATACATCTGGTGCAAAAATGGGTAAAAAAAATGTGGTTTTGAAGTGCCCCACCCGAGCCAACAAAAATCTGGGCAAATCTGTCACTAGGTGGTCGACTAGCCAGCCGACCGGGTTGTTGATCGGCTAGAGAGAAAGTTGGCTGTTGTGTTCTAGTTCAGTCCAACTTTGCTCTGGTGCCCTATGGCACCTAAACACTTGGCCAAAATAGGCTTAGGGTGGAGAGTAAAGCTCAAATTTCATCTTTTTTAACTGAGGATTTTGGGAAAAGTACATTCTTATTTACACCATCGAAGTCAAAATATGGTGTCTACAACTTGATGATTTATTAATAATAGGGCCAATTGTTACAAAATTCAAAATATGTAGGGGCAAGATGTAATTTCTGGAATCATAGGGAGCAATTCATATTTCAAGCAAATCTCAAAGTGTATATTTGTAATTTACTATAAAATAATTAATTACTTTTACTCTACTGCATAACTTTCTCTCTCTTATAACGTATAACTTATTAGCATTTTTTTTTCGGTAGATTATAATAAAGAAAATTGTTGAAAATTCTAATCTAATGAGGGTATAAGACATTAGGTCCAATGGATATTTTTTGTTGGTGAAAGATCCACCTTTTGTAAAATAGTTTGGTGTGGAGTCCTTTTGTTGTTTTGAAAACCATTTTGTTTTAAGTTTTACACCTTAATTTATCTGTTGACTTTTTTTTATTTATTTAATTTCTTGACAATCTGTTTAAATTTATATCTATCTATTCAAATTATTTTTTGTCTGTACCAATTTATATCTATTTGTTTAAATTTTTTGATTATCTGTTTAATTTTTTCATTTATCTATTCAAATATCTGTTCAAATTTTTATATCTATACAGATGTTTTATGTTTAATTCCATGATCCATTTATATCTTTTTCCCAATCTCTTATATGTTGAAATTCTTTCTCACCAAAACAACAACAAATATATACAATAGATCTACAAAGATCAGACTTTTGTTTTGAATTACAAAGATCTGGCTTTGATTTACACATATTTGAATCCTTGAGTTTTCATATAATTTCCATTGTTGCCTAAAACCCTAAGCTTCGACTCTGACACCGCACAATCAACCTCCTCATCGTTGACATGATAAGTTATCTCTATTTTGCCGAACCAAAAAGAGCTCCAGAATCGATGGTTGAGGCTCCATGAGAATCGATGAAAACCCTAGAGAATCGAACAAACCACACCCCTCTATCTCTTCTTTAACTCTACCACCGGCCTCCTTGCCCTCGCCATCCTCATCCCTTCCTTGTCTCATCTTCCTTGTTTTCACCATTGTCATTCGATCTCGTTCAGCTTGTTGACACGTGTGCCTGCTAAGGGCACTGACATCACCTCCTCACTATTGCAAATCAAACCCTTGAACCCTAGATTTGCTCCTAGGTGGATTGCTTGTATAACATGAATGATAACATTGCCGTCGCACATCAAAACCCTAGTTTCCAACCACCACACACACCAGAATCATGATATCTATCGCCAAATATAGGAGCAATGTTGATCCCTTGTTTGATAGACTCGCTAGGACCCTAGTTTCGCAAGAATTTCGAATGG